GCAAGATAAAGTGAACATTTGGAGAATGTTCGTTAATTGAAATGCACTTTTTACGCAAAATTTTAAAAATAATCGTAACTTTTAAAATAATCTGCAAAACTCTCTTCACTCTATGACAAAAAGCCTAAACATTTTTTTTACTACGTGTAAATTAACATTTTATACGCAATGATTTTTTAACCGGAGCCGTGCAATTTATCTCGCGAAAGGGCCAAAGAGGCAATTTTCCCAGCATGAAAAGGTCTTCCTGGCCCATAATTAAATCTGGGAAAATTCGCGAAGTCGTACGGTTTCTTCGCGTTCCGCCGGGACGGACAGGCAGGACAGAGAGGGAGAAACTTTGGCACTCTGCAGATAAAATTTTCTAGCGTTTTGATCAAAGGGCTCAGCCGAGGACTGCAATGCGCGGGGGCTATGCGCACTCGAAATGTCGGCTTTAACGAGACTCGTCGTCGTAGACGGGCTACGTGTTTTGAATACGAAGAAAAAACGATTGCGCGCGTTCTACCCTCGTCGTCGGCCATGGCTCCGTGTAAACTTTCTAAGGCGATTCAGAACTGTAGAAAATTAGATTATCTCTTTGAGCCGTTTATACATTACGCGAAGAACGAGTACGTTTCGAATTGATTAAGTACTTTTATTACGGATAAATATTTACCAAGCTGTGTTTCGAAAAACATGGAACATTCTCTTCAAACAAAACAATACTTTATATGTAATTCAATAGAATTATTACGATTATTATTCCTCCCAAATCTTTATATTATAATTATGAAATGCGTATAATATAGCGTAATGAAATAATTATAATATGCGTGTACTGAATGTATGTTCGGTAAAATGAAATAATTATATTACAATATGTTACAATTTATTTGTTTCAAATATGGAAATAGACCGTATAAGATAATGAGCTATCGCGTTCAATAATAAACACAGTTATAAAAGAGTATATATGTACATGATATATAATTGTCCAGATAGTTTTGGAAGATACATAAACACGATTTACGTAAAATTGAATAACATGAGATTGTATCGATACGAAAAATAGAAAATATAAAAAAAAGAAGAAAAGAACCGGAAAAAGATATAACCACTAAAGCGTTTACGCGACACATCTTATTTGTACTGTCGCCGGGAAAACACCGCGGCGAGAGATGGTTTCGATATTGCCGCCCAGCTTCGACAACCTGAAAACGACCGGTTGAAAAGCTGAAGCCAATCCTCAGGCCGACACAAGCCAAATACCTTTACAGTCGCCAGTAGAAACAACAACGAAACGATTCTAGTGGCGATCGCGGTCCGTTCCTCTGAAATCGAGCTATTGCTGTGCAACCGCGTGCATTCCTTCCAAGCCGAAATGGAAACTATTTCGCGCACAGAACTCGAACGGTGTGAGGAATATCCGTACAATGGTCTATTTTCGCGATCGTTAAAGAGACGAAAAATTCTCAGACTTCGAGCTTCGCGCGGCTTGGAGTGTTCAGAAAATTTATTTGCAAAATCGGACGCGCGCTATCTCGATAGATTTTCGACGAGCGGGGGATATCGACGGTGGTGTTGAGTCGCTCGCACGGAGAGCAAAAGGAAGAGAGTGGAAAAAAGTTACCATTTTATTCAATATCGTGTAAGAAGTTACGCGAGCCGTTCGCGAGCGGAGACGCTTATCAGCGCGCAACGCGCACCGCGCGATCGGAAAGCGTTTGCTTACACACGAACATCGCCGTATCACTTTAATGGCATTCTTAATAGCCGTAGGAGAGTTCCGAAGTTGATGCAATCTCAATTTCCCGGTTCCTGCGCCTGATATATCAGTGATTTTCCACCTTTGCGTTATCGTCTGGAAAGTTCGCCGAGTCATGCGGCGCTTCCGGAGCGGTTGGTTCGCCTAATAACCGTCTTTGCCCAGCGCAAACTGGTCCGGGCGCGTGCGACCTTCCTCCTCATCCCTCCCTACCCACCTCTTTACGTATGCCAGACTGAAGTTTTACCCCAATTAGTGACAAAAATTTCTTTCAAAATATCGTATTTTTGAAAGTATAATAGTATGTTTGCGACACCTCTAAACTGAAATTTACGAAAATTTACTTAAAATTAAATAATAATAAAAAATAAATACAGAACAGTAAGTGATTCAGCAAAACTATAACTTGCTTGGTAAGATCATCTTATTATGTTTTTTTATATGTCATTATTTGTGCTAAGGAAACGACTCAAAACAGAGCTGAAGCAATATATAGTGTTTAATTAAGTATTAATTTAATTTTTCCAATTAAAGAATTATGCTTTTAATTTAAAACGTCACTCATACTCTCATTGCCATTTACCTTTTAATTGGTATTTACATTACCTCGAGAGAGAGTCATTAAATAATTATTAATTCTTTATTAGATGGTAGTGCTCTATTATTTATTTATTTATATATAAAAAGTAAATAATAAACATATTCAAACAGTCACGCTGCAATTTTCGAAAATGTATTCAACATTCAATCTCTTTAATTGGAAATTTTACTAAAATTCCCTCAAAACAGATATAGTAGTATATCTCATTATTTATTTATCTATATAAAAAGTTTCATTTTTTTATCTTATAAAATAATATTATCGATATACTAATTCAATTGTTTCGATTACCCGTAAGGCAATTAATTGTTACTTCAATTAACACTCCGATAGTTTTGCTAATCAAAAATTGTTTAGAGATGTATTTATCGAAGTATTCGTAAATATTGAGAGTAATTTTATCTATAAAGTAATTTTATCTTACACATCCTGTATACAGATCAATGGACTTTACAAGGAATATTACACATCTTTTGCGCGCGATCAGTTGACGATCAGTCCCGTTTGTCGCTCGAGGCTATCCATGCGAGACGTAATCGCGTGCTGGATGCAATTTTCTGTCTAACGGTACAACATGTCCATCCGAGTATGAATACAGCTTTCAAGTAATTGCAAGCCACGAGAGAAACGAAGCGAGACACACGCGCATTTCAGATACATGTTGCTTCCTGATTTAATTAACTGACGTATTTTGTCCGCGCAATTTAAGCCTTATCAGAATAGCGAAAAAATTACATTTTCTCCTTTATGTTTATAATTGGAAAGTATGATACTACACGAATAATCGTCGCGTATCGTCTAATAATAAAATAATATTTTATTCATTGACGTGTTAGACTTCGATTATTAAAATTGCCATATGTGATATGCATATCCCCTTTCCATTAGCATAATAAAATCGTTAGCTCTGTGATCTCTGTTTAAATCTTAATTAAAAATTAAAAAGTCTCATAAAATTGTCGCGATTCGTTCATTCATCTCACTGAATTTTCGACGTCAACTGTAGGCATGCATAGTAAAAAGACATTTTGTATTCTTCTTAAAATCGATCCCTGTTAAAATTTTGTGTTGAATTTTTGAAATTTCCGAATTTAACCTAATATGATTATGTCATTTGAATATTTCATATTAATTCGATATTTTTTAGTATCAAGATAACATATTTATGAGTGAGTGAACAAATAACATAAAAAAATAATGTCCATAGAAAATTGAAATTCAATAAACAAAGGCCAAAAAGCCTTTCTGGTGTTTGTTTATTGAATATTAACATTTTTGTTGATAATATTATAACGAATTGGATTTAGAGAACACTGTAAAAATAATGTATTTTAAAATGTAAATTCTAAGATAAATAAATAAAATACGTGTTAATTTAATGTATCATAAATTTTAATTTTACTGAAAAATGTACTTCCACATTGTGTCAGTACATTTGTTGCATGTTATTAATTTTTTACACAATACTTGTGTCATTTTCTAACATGTTCAGCTTGTGTAAAATTAACACAAAATATCAGTGGATCTTCTGGGAATTTGAGATACGTGAAATGTGTTAAGTTTAACACAAATTTTCCAATTGTGTGCTCCAAACGATAAAAGCGAAAAAGGAAATGACGATACGATCGACAACTTTTAATGAAGTTCAAAGATTTCCTCGATTTTTCATATATCCCTCAGAGCGCCGTTTCACTTTGGAAAACTACATCGCTCGTTACGCCTGCCGATATGTTTGTTCGTGTGTAACGTTGATCGCCTGCAGGCTGCGGTATAGTGGCGTCTCGCATCCAACTCCCTGACGGGACAACTGATGCGTTTCCAATACGGTTGCCTAACAGTGGTCTTCAATGCCAGCGGGACAAGCCCGCAGATCACAAAGTATACCAGATAGCGATTACGTGTCTGCTTTTTTTTCTTATGAGGAAATCTATTCTTCTTTGCACGATTTGTTGATGTGTAATATTTCAAATAGAGATCCTTAAAGAGTAAAAAAAAAAGACCATTTTATCCTACTTAGGTCTGCAATATTACATGCGTCAATGTAATAAAAATATATTTATTTACGTATTTTGTTGACGAAAAATGTGCATTAGACTTATATGCATATTACTTTAAAAAGGAATGCAGCAACTACCTGAAAACGTGTATTATGTAAGAACACATTGTCTGATAGCCTGGTTTTTCTTATCTGTTGTATTATAATGCCCTCATTGCGAAAGGAAACACTTGCAAAATAATGTATGTAAATACTGTGGTAATTATATTGCATATGAGAAGAAGATAACGTAAAATCATCCAACTTTACGTAGAAATTGAGGCGAAAACATTACGTGCAACGTTATGAGGAAGTTAAGCATTTTACCCTGTGAAATACGATTTAAAAAACGAAACTTTGTAAGAAACATCTTTACCGAGGCCACCCGCTGTAACACGCTCTTTGTAATCCGATTAACGAATAATTGAGGAAACTCTATTTAGTAAAGGACGGCAAGTTCCGACCACTGGGAAAACACGCTCCGGGAACGAAGAAGAAAATTACAGGGATAAGAGGAACCGGTTGTCTGTGCAAGACTAAAAAGGGAGACGTTCAATTTAGATCGCCATTATATGCGTACACACTTAGGAGGCGTTCAAAGGCATGCAGTGTGTTACCTTGTAACTTCCGAGATTTTCGATGACGCAGGGTAGACTGACGTCCCTTCCCAGCGCCACGGTGACATTTGGTATCGGCTCGGCAAATATTGGTGGATCGGAAAGCGCTGCAACACATAGAAAAATTGCGTTAGTTATACGTATCGTCGAGTAACATAACAATATGAATTACACTATTTAACAAAAAAATTCACAAGAATAGAATTTAATCATTTCCCGTAGTTTTTTGAGTGTAGAACACGATCTCATTTATTTGTTCTATTATGTTACAATTGTATTTGCTATTAAATTACAAAAAAGTGATTTTTCTCTATACTTTCATCTTACAATTACAATATGCATGGTGTTAGAAAAATCTTATGCTGCAATTAAAATTAAGTAGGTATGTCGTTAGAACTTTCAATCTTTAAAAATTCATTATATGATTAATTATAGATAACATTTTTATGATAGTTATGACTTACATATATTACCATTAAAAACCTATCAAATACTTTTAAATTACGTTATTCAATTTTTCTTAAGAGAATCCTAGTTTTAGGTCGTTAAATATTAATTTAGTATAGTGCTAAAAAAAATTGATGAATTCAAAATGGTGGAATTAATATGGTAGATGTCAAAATTAAAAAACGTTGGAGTTTTTGGAACAATTTATGTATACAGTGAATTTTCTTATAATTGAATTTATTAACTTTCACACATCAGATTACTATTCACCGATCTGGAAAAACCTTAAAAGAAGTGTCTACATAAAGTCGGTTTTCGATTTAATTTCAATTTCATTTTAAATTATCGGCAACGTTTTATTATTGTAAGAATTATCGAAATTGGGTGATTTTAGCTTAAATCGACATATTTGACGCCTGTTATCTTGTAAGTCAGCTCTACATTTACCAATACTCTTATGGTCCTAATTTTTGCGATTTATTTTATGCGTGTTATCTGAGAAGCTTCTTTACTCGTACTTAGCATTACCCAGGATCAACGGTATAGACGTCGGATTTCTGATCCCTTTTCGGGTGCTTGATTCACGCGAGTCCCCTCGCCTCTCACGTTTAAGGTGCTTTAATCGTGTGAGTCCACTTGCCTCTCACGTTTGGAATGCTTGATTCACATGAGTCCCCTCGCCTCTCACGTTTAATTACATTTAACCTTCATATTCATCAAATGTCTATTCGCTTTTTGACAATATAACTGCATCTAATGAATATTTTGTGAAATTATCACTACGATAGATAGGTTTTTCGTCTGGATGTCTGCAGTATTCTAAATATCACAAAACTGCTGCGACATGAGCATAACAATCTGTAGTTTGAGCAATGATCTTACATTGGCAATACCATTCTTTAATCAAAACTGAAGGCTTTGTATCTTATCCAAAGCTGAAATATTGTCAGGTCGAAAAATTTCTAATACCCGAGGGGTGAAAATATCTGAGGATCAAAAAATTTTTGAACGTTATGGCAATTTTGTCGACAGTTCTGGGTAGCACCCCAAGAGTTCTACCAAAAGTTATTAGCTTTCAAAGCACGCTAGGATTAATAGTTTAGAAGATATTGCAATTTTTCATTCTGCGTTTTGTAAAGTTAGCACCCCAAATTTTGATTTTTCAATTTTTCGCATTAATTCGCCGGAACTATTTTTTATTTTGGGCAAAAACTTCAGAACTCTTTGGAGTGTATTATAAACTGTGATGAAAATCGCCAAATCTCCGAAGCCATACTATGTGTATGCATACGTGCGATCGTACTGATTCGTTCAACCATTTTGTTATAAGCGTCGCGCACGACTTAAATCTTACGATGTAACACTGTTTATCTGAGCTATTGTCTCTGGATTAATATAGTATAATAATTAGTAATTAATATTTTTGAAATTATATTTCTATAAATGAAGTAGCACTACAAACTTTTGTTCCGATCTGATACTTTAGCTGTGTTCATTCCAAAATTCATTGCAAAAATTTTGAAAATTTATAGTTTACGTTACCTAAACTGTAGATTTTTAGCGCTAGCAGTAACTTTTAAAACACAGCCTTCATAATGCAAATTCACACAGTGACGCGTGACGCGAAATATAATTGATGACCGTCAAGTTGCCATAAACAATAACGCAATTAACTTATCCTCTTCTCGCCGATATTTTAGTATATAAAGATATCATTGACAAGACATCAATAAAACGATAATTGTGACTGATAAACTCTTGATGGCCGTAAATAGAAAATTCGCCACGCTCGTATATTGGCTCGTGAATTTTTCATCTTTGAACGACCAGACTGTTCCGCCGAATTGTGGCCGTCGATCAATGAGATTCGTTCGAAGATAAATTAGCGAGAAACGATTACTCGTTGGGTCACATCTATCGTGTCACTTCCAAAATCCACGAGATCACAACAAATGGCATCGGCATGTCCAAAAAATAGTCTCGCAACTGAAATTGAATTTCGTATGGAAAGAACGATTTTGCCGAAGTATCTAAAAATTTTAGATAGATACAGATCTGAAAATAATTCAGACAATAGCAAAAATCCTATTAATATATTTGTTGAATCATCATATTATTATAATTATGAAGGAAACTCAAGTATAATATGCCATATTGCAAAAAGTGATATATTTCAGCAATAAACTTGAACGTCCTATAGAATTATTTTAATAATTTCAACAGAAAATTACTTTCAGATCTGTACGTAGTTAAATTTTTAGACACTTTAATAAATTTGTTCTTTCAGTGCAATTGCATATTTTTTCAACCGTCGCGTCGTCACGGTATGCAGCGCTATAATATGTGTTCACATTTTGCATTAAGTATTTATTCATGTTTATTTATTCATGCCTGTAAAATTATTTTAATTACAATTGACTCGTTTACATTCTTTTCCACTAGAAATTTGCTTATTTGATTTCATGCTTGCCATACAAAGAACACTTATTAACAACGAGTGTACGGATTAATTATTTACGCTCGAACGAACAATCCGATTTCACGGATTTTTATAATGCAATGAATCCTGTAATCGTATTAATAGATTGCAATTATGCATACGTATGAGCTATTCATATAAATCAAATGATAGCTGAATGGAATGTTGGAAAAAATAATGACGTATGTATGGATCGAAATTTATATGACACGTTTCATTAAAGAGAGAGAGGTCCATTACATTTTAATCATCTTTATATACTACTATCAAAATGAAGTTATGTGTGTTGTCATACTCAGGTAAGAGAGATTGAAAAAAAAAATTTATATAATATACTATATAAAATATATTTATATAATGTATTTAAAAATAAAGCATTTATTTTGTGTATCACGTTATTTCGCCAAATATTGTCAAAGCTTATGCGATATTCGTGGAATATCTCGTAATGCTTGGTCCACTCGTTGGCGCGAATTTTTACGAATACACACCTGTACTCGGAATACGACCAATTATCATGCAGACAGGGGCATCGCGGAATTCGAGTTTAAATTTATATAGCGACGATACTTCTCGTTTAAAGCTGAACCAAAACGCATATATCGTTACAGCTGCGAGACTGAAAGTGTGCTCGTAGAATATTAAACGTACAATATTTTCATCATTATTATTCCCGTTGTGCCAGCGCAAACTGGAATATTCAACCGATGCCGCCGGATAATCCTTCATATTCTTTCGCACTTTGCGTGCAACCGCAAAAACCGCAAGGTATTTGTATTTAAACAATGTAGGAGCGGGGGGGGGAGAAGGGTGCGCATCATCATGCGCCAAAATTTAAATAGCAACGCGCGAATCGTTTGACGAGCGGCGGAAAAAATTTATCCTATCCAGTTGACAAACGTCCTGACTTTCGTTTTAATAAACGCGTCAACGTTTTGATATTCGTCAAAGGACGTTTCGTTAAGCTCGTGAATACGCGAAACCACACGAAGTTTTTATCACAAAATAAAATAGCAGGATTAAACGCAGGATATCAAATAATGTTTATGACAGCTGGTCAACCTTAAGTTTCGAGCAACTTACGCGCGGTATGTTATATATAAACCTTTCCAAAATAATGACTGGCAATTCTTTTCTATTTTTTTCTCCCTTCGTTATTTTTTCTTTTTTTTATTACGTTAGCCAAATTTAAAATTGCCAATAAATATTATAGATGCTATAATACAATTATACGTATTCTTAACAAAATATTTTTAATAAATTGACGTAATATTATAATTAAAACGAAAAAAGAAATAGTAATCAACAAACTATCGATGATATAATAAAACGATCGTTAAAAATATTCTGTTTGACAGTGGGCGAGCGAAACACGCGTCTAATGTTGGCGTGGGAAGAAAATCGAAGGGGTGCTAAAAAGAAAAGAAAAGTGACTGAGGCCGGAAGGAACGTTCGTGACGACTCTTCTGAGTAACTTTTGGAGCTGCACTCGAGAGTGAAGTAGGAGGGTAGTTGGCTGGTTGCTCAACCGGAAGAGGGCAGCCGTCAATTCCGGTCGAAGACTTCACACTGACCGGAAGTCCGTGCACACCGACATACACCAATGTGACGTGCGACGTCGCGGCGAAAACCCGACAATCCTAACACTTCGAGATTCGATACCGTACTCACTATCGTGTTTCTTGAAAAACGACTTACGATAAACGTTCAAATCCGGATTTGTCAGCTTCCACTTTACATACTGGAATACTCTGTTATTAACCTGCCATTAACGGTTGCTATAATATTAAAATATCAAAGTCATCCTTCTTTTTATATTGGCAGGAAACGACAGTTTAACACGTCAGTAATATTAACAAGCTAAATATCCTCAGTATTTATTATATTACGGTGAACTTTTTTGCAAATTTATTTGAAGAGGAGAATAAGCAAGACATTCTAATTTAACCAAGGCAATAGACTTTCTATAGGAGATTTTAATTGTATCTTCCATTTCTGACTGAATCGTACAATATTTATGTCTAATATATTAAATTATTTTCATGTATACATCATATATGTTTATTTCATGGAAAATTTTTCTCGTCTGAAGAATGAAAAAACTAGCAAAGTAAAAAGTCTCGAAAAACTGGAAAGTTTGACACAATCAACTTGTGAAACGACGTAATGTGGCGTTTTTTT